AGACCACATTGTTCAGAGTCACGGATTGGGGTGTTCACAGAAGCAGAGTTAGTCACAGAATCAAACAGGGAGCCACAGGACACACAATGCTTATTAAAGCAATTTAGCATAGTAGCCTTGTCCGATATAGAGCCAAATGCTGTGGTGAGGCACGGAGGTAGTTCATTACGGATCTCACCGGTGGATATCGATTGTATGGCTTTCCAAAATTTCCTAGGATTATTTAGGTTTTCTGTGGTTACTGACAAATAGAACTTCGACTTAGCGCTTTTGACATGTGAAGTGAAGCTATTCCTTAGCTGCCTAAAACACAGCCATTCTACCTCTGAGCCTGATTTCCTAGCCTTTGCCCAGGCCTTGTTTCTCTCATGACTAGACAGATCAGCAGAAAACCAAGGATTGTCTCGTCCCTTTACTCTAAATGTACGCAGAGGTGCATGTCTATCAATGATCTCCATAAAACCAAGATAAAAATAAGACCATGCAGTTTCTACATCAGCACACAGATCGATTTTTCCCCAATCAAAATCAAACAGATCATGAACAAAACCCTGCTCCACAAAATGTTTTATGTCTCTCTTAATAATAATACGAGGTTTAACCTTTTGGACCTTAGTGTCCCTAATTGTGGCTACAACACAGTGATCACTCAGATCATTTGCAAATACTCCCACAGATGAATATTTATGGAGAACATTAGTTAGAATGAGATCAATTAGGGAGGATTTATTAGGGGACTTAATGTTAGGGCCAGTAGGACTGTCAACAATCTGAGTAACATTCAAAGAGATACAAAGGTTTTTAAAATCCTCTGACACTGCAGTTAACCAGTCCCAGTTAAAATCTCCAAGTAGCACTATTTCCTTGTAGTCAAGTTGCGATAAAAGATTTGCTAGCGAAGACAAGGAGTCCTTGACAGCTGAGGGGGGTTTCAACATCTTTCTAACTCGTTCTCGTCTCTTGGTTTAATGTGGTGCCTGTTCTCTATAAGAGGTTCAACAGGAGGAGACGGTTCAGGAGAGAAAGTCCTCAGACACACCCTGTAAACCAGTGGCTTAAATAACGTTCAACACGTATAGTTAAAGAATAAGAAGAAGGATCAATAACCTTACAGCCAAATGATGAAACTCACAGTGACTGAAATAAATAAATAAATAGATATAACACTTTACAGATGTTACATGGGGGACGTATGGAGTCTCATTTACTGACGTGACTGTTAGATGTCATGTTTCTATCTCATTGGCCTCAGAGCTGTCTGTCTGCTGGAGACCCTTATTAAAAACCTGCTGTTCTCTGTCTGACTAGTGGACTGTAAGACCCTCGTTTATATATCAGTTTGATAAACTGCTATGTCCAAGAATGTAAAACTACGGTTTCAAAGTCAACAGATACATTTATTAATGAGATAACTCAGATGAACACTATTAAAGCACTCAACTTGATTTAGTAAATCCACGGTTCCACTTTCTGAGCTGATAAAGATGTATTCTGTTTCCTTTCACAAACAGCGTGAAGGATCTGTAAAATGTCACAAAATGTCCAATTCCCCGTCTGGTACTTGATTATCCAGCAAGAGTCCCTCTTTTATACACCGACTGTGAATATGATTTCTTGTACTTACTCAAAGGAATAAACTGACAATGAAAAAACATATAAATATAGTTAAAAAGAAGAATCTCAAACATTTCATTTAGCAGTTGGGGTTCAGTTAGGATATTTGTTTTGTGGTGAGGAGAGAAGACACTTTTGGAGGATCCCGTGTTCAGACTCCAGTTTTTCAGATATGTGGTTTTCACATATACCATTTAGGTATGTTTGAGCAACCTGCAAACATTGTTATCTCATCAGAAGTTTGTTGTGGAAATAAACGCTTTTAAAAGTGATTTACAAGCTTTTTATTAAACATCTGTCTGATCTAATTTATTATGACTGTATCACAATCAAAGCTTTAATATTTGGAAATGGACCACCCCTAGTTCACTATGTGTTACCTTACAAACAGCGAACCATTCTTTTAACAGTCAACGCAGAGGTCAGAGTGAAACCTACCGGTCGATCATCAGGACACGTTTCACTGATATTACTGCTTGACCTTCTGTAAAGAAATGCAAAAGGGTGAAGAGTATCTGTCAGTGTCTGGGAGGTTCTGGTTTCAGACACTTCAACATACAAGGAAATAGAGATTTAATTACTTCAACTGATACTAACCGGTCCAAATAAAACAAATGCTTCACAGTCAAGGAAGTGCCAAGACAACAACCCGAGTGACATACAAGGAACTGAGTTAAAAAAACAAGTCTTAAGAGATGAGACAAGGATTAGGGGGATTCAGAATACAAGGTGATATGTTTCCTTGTGTGAAATATTTCACCCCCCCCCAGCGCGTCACAGTTTCGCCGCTGCGAGACGCTACTAGCTCTAAAGATCTTAATGACCCCGTGATCTTTTATTGTTGAATTACTTTATTAACTATAAGTCCGCCCTTTGAGGCTCTTGAGCGGACAAAGAGAGGTGTATTTAATGGTGTTGATCCCTGGATGATGGAAATAGTCCAAGTGCCATATTAGGGGGACATTACGGAGCTCATGAGTCCACCCTTTGAGGCTTTGTTAACATTAATACTTTTTGCTTTGTTTGTGTTACTAAGATACTTTTAGATACACTTTGAAGTGTGCAACACTTTACAACTGATAGAATATTGAGTACTTTGTAAGGAATTGGGTTTCTTTAAAGGCAGTTTGTGATTTTTAGGGCTGGTTCAGTGAGACAATGCAGTTTTGATAATTTCAAGTTTCAAGGCTTTTATTGTCATCTGCACTTTAGCTACAGTGTAGATGGCAATGAAAAACATAGGTCACAGGCTCCTCCAACAGTGCAACATATATATATATATATGTATATATAGAGGACATAGAACAAATAAAACAGATACAATAGTGCTATAGAATATATCAATAAGCTTTTCGTAAAGCCTTGTGATTCTATCCTCAAAGCAAAGATCCTCCTCTCAGACGTATGCAGGTTGCATGAGTGTAGAGAATTCCAAATGGCTGGAATAAAACGGTCATTCCACAGTCTCGTTCAACCACTTCCAAATATTTAGGCATCTCAAACAAACACTCGTGCTGCATCTCACTGGGATGCTGGACTTGACATCCATAACATATTTCTTCTCAATACCTATGCAGAACCGTATTCAACAGATGAACCACTACAGCTTTTACCTTATTCAGAAATGAGGCTGTCCTTGCACCGTCTGTAACATCAACCTCTGGAGCATAAGGAGAGCATGGCGGTGAAGCTCTTGCTACCGAGGGTTCTGATGAGTCTGTTGAATTCCATGGTGATTCCAGTGGAAATTCTGTTTAGCTTACGTACGTTGTATTGACTAATGCAGTGCCTCGGCCCTGCTGCTGCAAAACGGGGGGTGTTGTTAGCTTAACTATTTTTGATTCAAAGCTTACTAATATTAAATATGTTGAATGTCCAAATGGACTTCCCAGAAATACACCAACCAAGTGTGAACGGACAAACTGTTCTCGAGATTGAAAATTGTTCTTATGTATTCAGGGCCGGTTCTAACCAATTTGCTGCCCTAGGCGAGATTTTAGCTGGTGCACTTTGAGCAGACATTACTAGAGACCTGATCAAGGGGGTACAACTCTGAAACAGATCGGTTTACATTTTAATAATCAAATAAGTATGTGAACATAACCAATAACCTATGGAGCCCTGGAGGGTTCATAGAGAGAAAAATAAATAAAACGAGGCCACGTCTTTTTAATTTGTGTGCACAATATACTTTTTCGTGCGCGCGAGAAAGTTACCGGTGCGCCAAGTAGGAAGTGGAGCGCACAGGAGACAACCGTTTCATTGCAGACGGTTATGTTTATGTGGAGAAATGGCAGTGCATACATTATTTGAGATATATTTCAAACTCGGACTTCATTTTAGGGACATTTCGGCCAGAGGTGTAGAGTTATATGTTTAAGCACCGGATCGACAGGAGAGTCTGAACCAGTCTGCCTTGATCTATGAATTCATGTCCGTGACTCTCACATAGTATCAGCTCTCTGCGCGCAGAGAGCTGATACTATGTGAGAGTCACTGTGTTTACCTTCATTAGAACAGCTGAATAGAGATCGAGGCTGGACACACATCGAACTGCCCGATTATTCCCCCTATTACTCGTTTTATGAAGGAGATGTCCGGTCACCAGGGTGCATGATGTGTAAATAACCCAGTTTGTGTTCTGTGAAACTGAAAAGGATATGACATTGTTTTTGTTACTTTCGTTGCAGTTGTATACGTCTTAAATGTAATTTAGGTTAACTTTCTCTTTTATTTAGATGCTTTAGTTTTGAAGGCGAGTTTACGCTGTTGACAGGAAGTTGTTGTTGCTATGGAAACGTGAAATGCTACATGATGTGTGTGTGTTTGTGCTCTGCTCTGCTCAGCTCTGTGTGTGTGTGTGTTCGGTGTATGTGTGTGTCCAACACCGGCATTTGTTTTCAAATGTACCATGAACAGTAATTTACACACATCTGGCTAACTCCATATTTGTATTCCCAAGTGAAAGAAGTTCGTTTAACCTAATCTCGATGTAGGCTAGTGCTAAATGCTAAGTGCCCACACACACACACACACACACACACACACACACACACACACACACATACACACACACACACACACACACACACACACACACACACACACACACACACACACACTCACACACACACACACACACACACACACACACACACACACACACACACACACACACAAACACACGCCCTGGCGACTTTGGAATGATTTCAAACCTGTTTAACCCAATAATTATAAAGGAGTGCCTTGGACATATTTGTTTACATAAATTGCATTTATCTCTCTCGCTCACTCCCACGCTCCCTTTGAGCGTGAGCTGCGGGAGCCAGATAAGGCAACACCCTGCACTTTCATCACTTACAGCGCCCATCGTACAGGGCAAATGAAGAGTGTAACCGGGGTGAAAAGGGTGTCACATTTACATCAAAAATGTTTTTTTCCCTCCCAGAGCTACCAGCGCAGCGCCTCCCCAGATATAGCGCCCTAGGCAACCCATGTGCTTCCTATAGAACCAGCAGCAGGCTTGGCTTTCTGAAAACCACTTCACTTCTCCGTAGGCCCACCCACCAGAAGCAGTCAGCCGGCTCCATGTTCTTTATAAAGCAGCAGCAGTCTGCCTCCTGCACACAGCTGCTGATCACCCACCAGACCAGGTAAGAACACTCTCCTCTGGCAGGAGCAGGACTCTGTGGAACATCCTGTCATGTTTGTTGATTTATTTATCAGGTTTATATTATAGGATTCATTTTTAGTTTATAGTCCATGTTTAGATTTAGGTTTATGTTTAGTCAACATGTCTCATTGTTCACTTGTTAAATTACAGTCACTCAAGTCTCGTCTTGCACTGTCTGTCATTGTACCTCCTGTTTTATTTTGAACGTACCTTTCCCTTGTTGATAGTTGCCACCTATGTCCCCTTAACTCTTGCAGATAGGCCTCGTCTCTCTCGTGTCGGCAAGAAGCAGCGTTCCAAGCCAAGAACCAACCGTATGTAGCATTTTGCCTCAAGTTGACTTAGTTCTATGTTTTTGTAGTTTACGTATTGCCTCTTAGACTGATTGTTGTTGTACTTTGTTTGTTCTTGAAGTAAATTCTATTTTGATTTTGTAATCTTGTCCGAAGTCGTGCTTTTGAGTTCAAGCATGTGTCACGTTCCTAACACTCTAAAATCTAGCATTTTAAATTATTAACTCTTAATACAAAAATACACATATGTGTAAAATGTTCAATGTAATGTATTACTTCAGGTCATATATATATTTTACGTTACCCTCTGGTTTACTTCATGCTGCTTGGTGCTTGGAGTCATGTCACCCTCGGTGTATCGGTAAGAGTGAGGGCACTTGTTTGTGTTAATGTCAATATAATACATAACTCATATGTTTTGTATTGAAAACACTCTGTATAGTTGCACATGGGCGTGAATAGTTGTTTTTTGCTATTTCGATATTTCCACCCAGAAACAAGTATGTGATGTGGCACTTCACTCCATGCTGTCCATTGACATGCCTAAGCACCAAAGCATGTATACATCCAGGCAAAGCATGTGTCAAAGTCATGGCCAAGGTGGAGTCAAGCTATTTCAGAGATATATGACACACGAAACTCAACATACACCGTTTGCTATGATGCTATGTTTCTTCACCGTTTGTGTAATTCAAATGAAATCTGTTCCTGGCTCTGGAAAGGTTTTAATATAACATCCATCTCTTAATCTGGCTGATGGTGTACGGGAGAGCTGTGCAGAGTCTAACGTAACAATAGTCTCTCTTTTTAAGGGTATGGGTGCTGCTGGATCAACATACCGACAGTGCGACATTGAGATTAAGAATGAATCTGCTATCTACACATTTGTCAACCCAAGGTGTCTGAAATCTTTCATCAAGTAAATAAGTTCTCCTTAAATATTCTCTGATAATCAAAGTTTCTCCCCCCCCCATGAACAGGATGTACACTGATCATGGATCCTGTATTACACCTTTTCAACCGACTGTTGCCCCTGGAGCCACTGGGAGTGCACTGTTCAGGAAGACTCCAAACACAGCTACAGGATCTGTTGGCGTCGTTACCTACGATCTCCTGAACAAGGATACAAACATGACAGCTGAGAAAATAGCTGTCATGTTTTCTGCGCCCTATAATTACAGCCTTTACTCCAACTTGTACGCAGTTGGAGTTTTTGATGAGAGCACAAAGTGTGATTATGCTCTTTATTATCAGATGTACTAATGATGAACCAACCACGTTTAGCAGACAAGATGCGAATGGGTCCTGGCTCACTTATGAGGGGGATCACATAACCATCATGGGAACAATGTCAGATACTTACCAACCTGTCATCCAGGTGCAAGTTAGCCAAAACAAGAAATGAGTGAGTCAGCAGTGGCTCTCAATAATGAATCATCAGGGTTAAAGGAATCAGAGTTTTCATTTGCTCTCGTTGTCAAATCAGTAATTGCTTTGTACTCGGCTGCATTTTGGGTCGTCTGTGTTACACAGATACACAAAGTCACATGACTTGAAAGCCTGCAACGTCTTATACTATTCTCTTTATTTGTATCTCTACACCTTTGAACACGTATAATTACTTTTACCGGGGTTCAATTATATCACAACTTATTAAGTCTGACATTTGTGGGAAAATGCTTTGAAAATCTAAATAATTTCACTTTGTTATGATTCCCTTGTTAATGAAAAACATGATATAATAGTAATACGTTGTCTATTTTCTTATCTGTTGTTCTCCATATATGATTAATAAAACTAAATAAATAAATATGTAAAATGTAAAAACTGAAGTGTTCTTTTTCTTCTGTCTGCTCCCTGTTAATACTTTTGTTCACAAATGCTTGGAGTCCATTGGTCTGCACATGATGCACATGAACCAACTTTTAGACAAAGTTAGCTCAATCTTACAGACTGACACTTACAGTTGGCTCAGGGCTCAAACACCGTGTACCCCAAACTACAGGAAAACGCAGGTCTGCATGTTCTATTTGCCGATGGATGAGGAATATTGCTGGAAGATCCAAGTATTTCTGTTCTCGAGAGTGAGGCTATTTTGGCTTCATGCAACTTTCAGAGGAATGCACAGAGCCCTACTTCCAATGCTGTATCATCAATTATTTAAACACCCTTACATCTAAATAATTACATTTCAAACAAAGTGTTTGTTTGGCTTACCGAGGAACATGTCACAAACCTAAAGTTATTTCTGTTTCCTGTCTTATTTTGAAATGTATTTTCTCCTGTCTTGTTCTACTTCCTGTTACTTTGTTTCCTGCTTGTGTTATTGTCAGATTATGTTTTGTTTGCATGCCCTCCCCAGTGTGTATTGTGTCTGTGATAAGTCCTGTGTGTGTCCTTTGTTATGTGTTGGTTCATCATCATTGTTCCCGGGGGAGGTCGCCTGCTCAGCCACTGGCCCTTCCCAGGCCGTCCGTGTCAGGTCCCCCCTTCAGCCACTGGCCCTTCCCAGGCCGTCGGTGTCAGGTCCTCCCTTCAGCCACTGGCCCTTTCCAGGCCGTCCATGTCAGGTCCCCCCTTCTGCCACTGGCCCTTTCCAGGCCGTCCGTGTCAGGTCCCCCCTTCAGCCACTGGCCCTTCCCAGGCCGTCCGTGTCAGGTCCCCCCTTCAGCCACTGGACCTTTCCAGGCCGTCCGTGTCAGGTCCCCCGTTCAGCCACTGGACCTTTCCAGGCCGTCCGTGTCAGGTCCCCCCTTCAGCCACTGGCCCTTCCCAGGCCGTCCGTGTCAGGTCCCCCCTTCAGCCACTGGCCCTTCCCAGGCCGTCCGTGTGAGGTCCCCCCTTCTTCCACTGGACCTTTCCAGGCCATCCATGTCAGATCCCCCCTTCTGCCACTGGCCCTTTCCAGGCCGTCCGTGTCAGTTCCCCCCTTCTTCCACTGGCCCATTCCAGGCCGTCCGTGCAATGTCCCCCCTTCTGCCACTGGCCCTTCCCCAGGCCATCCGTGTCAGGTCCCCCCTTCAGCCACTGGCCCTTTCCAGGCCGTCCATGTCAGGTCCCCCCTTCTGCCACTGGACCTTTCCAGGCCGTCCGTGTGAGGTCCCCCCTTCAGCCACTGGCCCTTTCCAGGCCGTCCATGTCAGGTCCCCCCTTCAGCCACTGGCCCATCCAGGCTGTCCGTGCAATGTTCCCCCTTCAGCCACTGGCCCTTTCCAGGCCGTCCATGTGAGGTCCCCCCTTCAGCCACTGGCCCTTTCCAGGCCGTCGGTGCTATGTTCCCCCTTCAGCAACTGGCCCTTTCCAGGCCGTCCGTGTGAGGTCCCCCCTTCAGCCACTGGCCCTTTCCAGGCCGTCCGTGTCAGGTCCCCCCTTCTGCCACTGGCCCTTCCCAGGCCGTCCGTGTGAGGTCCCCCCTTCTGCCACTGGACCTTTCCAGGCCATCCATGTCAGATCCCCCCTTCTGCCACTGGCCCTTTCCAGGCCGTCCGTGCAATGTCCCCCCTTCTGCCACTGGCCCTTCCCCAGGCCATCCGTGTCAGGTCCCCCCTTCTGCCACTGGCCCTTCCCAGGCTGTCCGTGTCAGGTCCCCCCTTCTGCCACTGGCCCTTCCCAGGCTGTCCGTGTCAGGTCCCCCCTTCTGCCACTGGACCTTTCCAGGCCGTCCGTGTCAGGTCCCCCCTTCTGCCACTGGCCCTTTCCAGGCCGTCCATGTGAGGTCCCCCCTTCTGCCACTGGCCCTTTCCAGGCCGTCCGTGTCAGGTCCCCCCTTCTGCCACTGGCCCTTTCCAGGCCGTCCGTGTTAGGTCCCCCCTTCTGCCACTGGCCCTTTCCAGGCCGTCCGTGCAATGTCCCTCCTTCAGCCACTGGCCCTTTCCAGGCCGTCCGTGTGAGGTCTCCCCTTCTGCCACTGGCCCTTTCCAGGCCGTCCGTGTCAGGTCCCCCCTTCTGCCACTGGCCCTTTCCAGGCCGTCCGTGCAATGTCCCCCTTCTGCCACTGGCCATTTCGAGGCCGTCCGTGCAATGTCCCCCCTTCTGCCACTGGCCCTTTCCAGGCCGTCCGTGCAATGTCCCCCCTTCTGCCACTGGCCCTTTCCAGGCCGTCCGTGTGAGGTCCCCCCTTCTGCCACTGGCCCTTTCCAGGCCGTCCGTGTCAGGTCCCCCCTTCTGCCACTGGCCCTTTCCAGGCCGTCCGTGTGAGGTCCCCCCTTCAGCCACTGGCCCTTTCCAGGCCGTCCGTGTGAGGTCCCCCCTTCAGCCACTGGCCCTTTCCAGGCCGTCCGTGTGAGGTCCCCCCTTCAGCCACTGGCCCTTTCCAGGCCGTCCGTGTGAGGTCTCCCCTTCTGCCACTGGCCCTTTCCAGGCCGTCCGTGTCAGGTCCCCCCTTCTGCCACTGGCCCTTTCCAGGACGTCCGTGTCAGGTCCCCCCTTCAGCCACTGGCCCTTCCCAGACCGTCCGTGTCAGGTCCCCCCTTCTGCCACTGGCCCTTTCCAGGCCGTCCGTGTGAGGTCCCCCCTTCAGCCACTGGCCCTTTCCAGGCCGTCCGTGTGAGGTCCCCCCTTCAGCCACTGGCCCTTTCCAGGCCATCCGTGTCAGGTCCCCCCTTCTGCCACTGGCCCTTCCCAGGCTGTCCGTGACAGGTCCCCCCTTCTGCCACTGGCCCTTCCCCAGGCCGTCCGTGTCAGGTCCCCCCTTCTGCCACTGGACCTTTCCAGGCCGTCCGTATCAGGTCCCCCCTTCTGCCACTGGCCCTTTCCAGGCCGTCCATGTGAGGTCCCCCCTTCTGCCACTGGCCCTTTCCAGGCCGTCCGTGTCAGGTCCCCCCTTCTGCCACTGGCGCTTTCCAGGCCGTCCGTGTTAGGTCCCCCCTTCTGCCACTGGCCCTTTCCAGGCCGTCCGTGCAATGTCCCTCCTTCAGCCACTGGCCCTTTCCAGGCCGTCCGTGTGAGGTCTCCCCTTCTGCCACTGGCCCTTTCCAGGCCGTCCGTGTCAGGTCCCCCCTTCTGCCACTGGCCCTTTCCAGGCCGTCCGTGCAATGTCCCCCTTCTGCCACTGGCCCTTTCCAGGCCGTCCGTGCAATGTCCCCCCTTCTGCCACTGGCCCTTTCCAGGCCGTTCGTGCAATGTCCCCCCTTCTGCCACTGGCCCTTTCCAGGCCGTCCGTGTGAGGTCCCCCCTTCTGCCACTGGCCCTTTCCAGGCCGTCCGTGTCAGGTCCCCCCTTCTGCCACTGGCCCTTTCCAGGCCGTCCGTGTGAGGTCCCCCCTTCAGCCACTGGCCCTTTCCAGGCCGTCCGTGTGAGGTCCCCCCTTCAGCCACTGGCCCTTTCCAGGCCGTCCGTGTGAGGTCCCCCCTTCAGCCACTGGCCCTTTCCAGGCCGTCCGTGTGAGGTCTCCCCTTCAGCCACTGGCCCTTTCCAGGCCGTCCGTGTGAGGTCCCCCCTTCTGCCACTGGCCCTTTCCAGGCCGTCCGTGTGAGGTCCCCCCTTCAGCCACTGGCCCTTTCCAGGCCGTCCGTGTGAGGTCCCCCCTTCAGCCACTGGCCCTTTCCAGGCCGTCCGTGTGAGGTCCCCCCTTCAGCCACTGGCCCTTTCCAGGCCGTCCGTGTGAGGTCCCCCCTTCAGCCACTGGCCCTTTCCAGGCTGTCCGTGTCAGGTCCCCCCTTCTGCCACTGGCCCTTTCCAGGCCGTCCATGCAATGTCCCCCCTTCTGCCACTGGCCCTTTCCAGGTCGTCTGTGTGAGGTCCCCCCTTCTGCCACTGGCCCTTCCCAGGCTGTCCATGCAATGTCCCCCCTTCTGCCACTGGCCCTTCCCAGGCTGTCCGTGTCAGGTCCCCCCTTCTGCCACTGGCCCTTCCCAGGCTGTTCGTGTCAGGTCCCCCCTTCTGCCACTGGCCCTTCCCAGGCTGTCCGTGTCAGGTCTCCCCTTCTGCCACTGGCCCTTCCCAGGCTGTCCGTGTCAGGTCCCCCCTTCTGCCACTGGCCCTTCCCCAGGCCATCCGTGTCAGGTCCCCCCGTCTGCCACTGGCCCTTTCCAGGCCGTCCGTGCAATGTCCCCTCTTCAGCCACTGGCCCTTTCCAGGCCGTCCGTGCAATGTCCCCCCTTCAGCCACTGGCCCTTTCCAGGCCGTCCGTGTGAGGTCCCCTTTTCTGCCACTGGCCCTTTCCAGGCCGTCCGTGTGAGGTCCCCCCTTCTGCCACTGGCCCTTTCCAGGCCGTCCGTGTCAGGTCCCCCCTTCTGCCACTGGCCCTTTCCAGGCCGTCCGTGCAATGTCCCCCCTTCTGCCACTGGCCCAGTCCAGGCCGTCCGTGTCAGGTCCCCCCTTCTGCCACTGGCCCTTTCCAGGCCGTCCGATAGGAAACCCTCACGTCGAAAGAGATGAGTTTTCAGTCTGCGCCGGAAGATGTGCAGGCTTTCTGCTGTCCTGATGTCAATGGGGAGCTCATTCCACCATTTTGGAGCCAGGATAGCAAACCCACGTGTTTTTGCTGATGGGAACTTGGGTCCCCCTCGCAGCGAGGGCGCAGCGAGTCGTTTGGCTGATGCAGAGCGTAGTGCACACGCTGGGGTGTACAGTTTAACCATGTCCTGGATGTAGGAAGGGCCAGATCCATTCGCAGCATGGTAAGCAAGTACCATAGTTAACATTGCTGGAGGTATACATACATATTGATAGATGTCACTATTGAGGAACCTGCGACCCAAGTTTTTCATTCATTGCATAACTACACCGTTTGTGAATATGATATGTCAATAAACCTTAGAAAATCTTGAAATCTTGAAAGGGATGTGCAAAATAGTCATTATATACAGTCTTTAATTAACTATTAG